TGTGGGTGATCTTGGCTGGCTGGGAAGGCTTAGGGAAGGGATCACAGAGTGAGACCCTGTTGAGGGTGCTTGTTTCTCTCATTGTTATGAAGGAAAGAAATACAAGGGGATCTTCAAAAAGTTCGTGGAAAATTCGATTCTGAAGAAACTGTCGTAGATTTCACACTTTTTGGTATCAAACTTGTACCTTCATTTCATTTTTACATGAACTTTTCAAAGTATCCTCATAAACCTAAAAAAGAAATACGCCTTGCTTTCCTTTGTTTTATTTCAGTCTTTTTTCACTCATGAATCCTAGTAACACGGCGCAAGCAAAATCCGTGCTACTTTTTCATGTTACTTTTCAGGAAAAACATTCATTCCCTTGCTCTGCTTGCAGGAGCTCATGGCTCATAAATATGCCAGGAACATGTTCAGGAGATGACTTGGGTTTAGTGAGATCATCAGCTCCTCAGCACCATACTTTATCACTGCGGAAAGCCACATGTGGATTCTTCAAATACTTGGAGCAGCAGGGAATGGTACAGGAGGAGCTCACCCAGCCCTTTATGTGAGTGGCTGTGCTTAAGTCTCTTCTGTGTTCTTCTCCAGTGAACCACTCTTCTGAAGGCTTAATTTCCTTGGTGGAGACATAATATTCACACACAGTCTTTTTTCGTTGAAGCACTGGGCTTGGTGTCGAGTTGCATTTTGTGAGACTATGGACAAGGCATTCACTTACTAGAACTAAAAGGAGGAGGAGCCGGGTGGAGTGCCAGGTCTGAGCTAGAGCCTCACAAGTGCTGTGACCTGGAGCTGATTATCTCTCATCTGGGTCTGTTTCTTCCTCTGTCTGGGAAAGGATTGCCACAGTGACCCTTCAGTTTCCTCCTGCCCCCCCCATCCCCCCCTGCCAACACACACAACAAGAGGATTCTAAGGTGTGGGTCATTGACTGTTTTCACAGCTAGAGATGGGCTTGAGAGAGTTAAAATTACACGAGAAGAAGAGGTAGGGTTGTTGAAATTCTCTGCCTCGTGTCATAGAACTGCTGTTTTTAGTTTTTCTTGGCTTGGGTGTGAGAATCCTGCTGTCTGAGAGGCTGAGCATAAGGGGATAAACCTTGGAGATAATGTTCATGTTTAGTGATTTATGAAGGAGTAGGAATATATAATAAGTTCCTGAATATAGATTTCAGAGGAGTGTGACAAGGTTCTGTAATAAACAAGGTTTTTATTTTGTACTCTTAAGTAATTTAACTGATTTAAATATTTTAAAATATCTGTTATTAAAACCAATCCTTTCGGAACCAGCAGTTAGCATAATGGCTATGTCTCTGGACTCCCATGTAGTCGACCGTGGTTCGAGTCCCAGACCTGGTGGCTTAAACTCACGCCGGGCGTGTGTGTGCGTGTGTGTGTGTGTGCCCAAGATCCTAAGAGGAGACTGGAGAAGAAGGGATTGCGGTGTGGCCATCCCCCCTGGGGTGTGATTTCTTGCTTTCTATCTCTCTGTCTCTCTCTGTCTTTCTGGCAAGCATACTCGCCCTATAGCAAAAGCCTCTCCAAAAACAAAAAACAAAAAACAATCCTTTCAAAATCTAAAATAGACGCAACTTTACTCACAATATTCTCTATAATAATTTTATTTCTTAAGGGTAACAGAAACTGAATACTTATACATTCAATTTTTATGTTAAACAGAGCTTAAATTTTGCTTAAAATAATTAAAAAACATAGTTTAAAAATAAGAAACCTTAAAGAAGTTTTGAAGTAGATTGTCAGGAAGTTGGATTATCATTTTTGTTTCAGAATTAGTGCTGGTTTTTTTGACCCATACCAGCTTTTCCAGTTTGGTTGGAAATGATAGATTTATTGATACAAATGGAAAATTAAGAATGAGTCACAAATTCTTACTTTGGGGGTCCAGCAAATGGTTTAATGGTTATGTTGCTGGGCTCCCACATAGTTGACCACGGTTTGAGTCTGGGACTTGGTGGCGTACAGCTCACATGGGCGTATTTGCATGCATGCCTAAGATCTTGAGAGGAGAATGAAAATGGAGGAGAAGGGATTGTGGCATGGCCATCCCCCATGGCGGGGGATTTCTTGCTTTCTGTTTCTCTTTCTCTCTGGCAAGCACACGTGCCCTATAGCAAAAATTTCTCTTAAAAAAATTCTTACTTTGAGAATTTTCTAAGGGAATTTTTTGTTTTTAACCTTGAGCTGTTAGATAACTAAATGCTAGAGATGTGGCGAGGATATTTAACAAAATTAGTAACACCTGAGCAGCATTTCTAAGAACTGATTCACGTTCACAATTAAAATGAACTAATTAGTTCTGGAGAAATTGTGCATTTATTATTTGGGAGTAGAGCATGAGGCAAAATGCCTTCCACCTATTTTGAAAAAAATTTTGAAACTATGTGATTTGCTTTGAAGGCTTAAACAAATTCAGTTACTAGGTCTTTATTATACTAAGTAGATATTCACAAGTACCTATTTTAATTTTGTTCATTTAAAAAAAAAGTTAAAGGCCTTCCAGGTGCCACATTCTCTGAAACGCTTTGGGGATGCCAGGATGATGGTGACGTTATTCTGTCATGCAAAGAGCTCATAGTCGAGTAGGAAAAATGAATTTTCACTTTTGGTATATGAGGCAGAGAGGGCTGTTCTAATGTACCAGTTACATATGCAGTTAATGAATATTTTTATATTCCCATATTTAATTATTAAATTAATTGGTTTTTATTGCAGTATAACAAATTATCATAAATATAGTGGCTTCAAACAACACTCATTACATCACAGTTTCTGTGGCTCAGACTCTGGGCATTCCTTAACTGCATCTCTGCTTGGGTTCTCACAAGGCTTCAATCAGATATTGGTCAGGTTTTATTCTCATCTGGAGGTTTGAATGGGGAAGAATTTGCTGTCAAGCTCCTTCAAGTTGTTGGCAGGGTTTGTTTACTTGTAACTGTAAGACTGATATCTCTGTTTCCTTATTGGCTGTCATCCAGGGGCTACTCTCAGCTCCTAGAAAGGCCCCTGCAGTTCCTTGCCATGTGGACTTCTCACAGGCCCTATCATAACATGCAGCTCACTTCTTCAAAGCCAGCAAGGGTGTGTCTACTCACTAGTTGCTGAGATAGCATCTTTTATAGGATAACCTGATCGAAAGATGTCCTTTGCTGTGTACCGTGGGTTAGTTCTGCCTGCACCCACGGGGAGGGGTTTATACAAGGATCTGATCCATTGAGGGTCACCTTAGAACTTTGCCCACCACAGTTCATTTCTAGTTATTCCACTGACTTCTCTCAAGACCAACGAGAGCAGTCCCAGTTGAAGAATAGAAACTGAGAGCTAAAAAAAAATCAGAAGTGGTTTGTTTTCTTCTTGTAGTAGGTAAAAACAACAACAACAAAACAAACAGGAGAAAGGAAAGTCTGTAGGTTCACAATATTGATAGGAAGATGTTACATAAAAACAGGAGGTTGGCTCACGTGTTGGAGGTGGACCTCCATGGGAATCTCATAGGGTCCTCTAGCGAGACACAATTATTTTTTAAATCTGGCAGTCTTAGCATTGGTTGATCATTTAGGAGTGACATATGGCAGGAGCATGCTTTGAGGGACAAGTTTCCTGGTGAGAGCTCTGCAGCACACAAGCTAGACAGATGGTGGCTTATTCAACTTTGGACAGGAGTGTATCCTACACACTGGCAGACTGAGTGCTGAGAGGTGCTTGTGTTATCTGTGGCAAAGCTTCACTGAACTTACCTGAAAGTGCTTTGTAAGGCATGAAGTGTTCACGGTGCCCCACCTTGACTGGTATGATGTGCACATGAGATGCTCACCAAATTGGGATGAAGATGTTGGTGGTAGATTGTGTGAGCCAGACAAAATCTGGAGCACCAAATAGGAGAATGTTCTACTAACAAGGTAGACAGCAAGTAAAATCAGGCTTGCATACAGAATCATGAATAATATCCTGCTGCATTAATGTAGAGGTTGTTGCTTTCATAAAATTAGACATATTTCAGGGGCTGAAAAAGTTGCAGCTCTGTCTGGTTCCCTTTACAGTTAAAGACTGAATGGATCCATGATATTTCAAGATAATTTGAATTTTCTTTTTCTTTTTTTGGAGAGGTTTTTTGCTATAGGGTACGTGCGCTCGCCAGAAAGACAGAGAGAGACAGAGAGACAGAAAGCGAGAAATCACCCCCCAGGGGGATGGTCACGCTGCAATCCCTTATCCTCCATTCTCCTCTCAGGATCTTGGGCACGCATGCACACGTGCCCGGCATGAGTTTAAGCCACTGGGTCTGGGACTCGAACCACAGTCGACTACGTGGGAGTCCAGCGACATAGCCATTACGCTAACTGCTGGTCCTGGGATTTGAATTTTTGAGAAAGTCATAGGTGGGACCAGCAGGTGGTGTGCTGGTTAAGGTGCTGGACTCTCACGTGGCCAACTGTGGTTCAAGTCTCAGGCCTGGCAGCAGCTTGCTTTCTCACTTTTCCTCTCTCTGTCTCTCTCTGGTGAGTGTGCATACTTTATAGCAAATTTAAAAAGTAATATAATAATTCTTAAAAAAAAAAAGGAAACCATAGGCAGTCTAAGAACTAAAACAGAATTAAAAAATACCCGTCCAGTTAGGATACTGCCATTATTTATGACCTATTACTGAAGAAAATTCCTGTGTCTTTGGAGGGACAGTTAATGTCTCTTTGATTGAAAGATGAGGACTTGGTGACCCCCATGGTTGCTAGAAAGCTGAGAGGAGGGTTTTGTCTCAGTTTAGTCACATTCCTTACCCCCAGATTTTTTTTTTTTTCTACAGTGCTCTCTTCCATTCCTTTATTACTTGATGCTTATTTTTTACTTTTATTTTATTCATTTGGATATTTGTGTCTTTTATTGTGACAGCCCTTATATCTTGGATTTTGGGGGACGGGTGATGTGTTAAGAGAAACAAAGAAGTGGTTCACTGAAATTCTTTTTTTTTTTTTCTCTTTCTAGCAGCTCAAGCTCTACATTTGTAACATCAAACCTCTTTCTCCTGTTGGGCCAACTTCAGGAACTGATAACAGTTTTTATGTAGTTTAAAAGGTGAGTAGGCCTTAAGACTCTTTGACAATGTTTGTGAGGCAAAACTTGTTATAGAACTGACCATACTGAGGTGGTTGACCTGTCAATTTGCCTAATTTGGTTTTACATTTATCTGCCTAAATGCGTGTGTTTCTTTATGGGGGGGCGAGGTTTAAGTGCCTGGGACTTAGGGTACCTTGAAGGAGCTTAGATAACACTTAGATGTTTTGCTCTCTCTCATGTCCTCAGGCCCAAAGCCTGATTTGGAGCCAGCTGCAGTAGAGGATAGTCAATGAAGGTGCTAGAAGGGTGCCAGGAGCATCCTACCAGCCCCAACTTGTCCACCATTATCTTCCACTGTAGATATGCCCGTTACCTCTGTCTGCCTCTATTTTGGCACCTCTTAAGAGATTTTAGTAATTCTTCTCCTCTTCTGCCTAATTGTTGGCTTCATTTGATGTCAGATGACATCAAATGAGGAAATACATGGGAATCTTCAGGAAGGTAAGAAATTCTATTACATATAAGGTGCAATTACCTACCCCCCCGCCCCCCTCGAGTTTTAGTGTGATAGTCTCATTGCTTATGGCAAATCTTTTACTAAGATGTAGTTTTCTTTTTTTTTTTTTTTTTTTTTGAGATTTTCGCTATAGGGTGCGTGCGCTCACCAGATAGACAGAGAGAGACATAGAGACAGAAAGCGAGAAATCACCCCCCAGGGGGTATGGTCACACCGGAATCCCTTCTCTTCCATTCTCCTCTCGGGATTTTGGGCACGCACGCACGCCCACGCGCCCGGCGTGAGTTTTAAGCCACCGGGTCCGGGACGCAAACCACAGTCAACTACGTGGGAGTCCAGCGACATTTTTTTTTTTTTGTAGGGTAAGAGTCTTCCTTCTACCCTCTCTGTCCCTCCATTACATTTTTTCTTTAGGGTTTACATCAGTGCCTGGTATGCCAGAAGAATTAAATAAAACTTTTGTAAAACGAAATGAGTTGACAAAGCTTCCCTCCAGATGCCCTCAGAGCATATCCAGGGCCTCTAATTTGTGGTTACTATTGGAATCAGATGAAGAAGTCGGAAATTCAGGAAGGATTGAATGTGCTTCCTCAATGAAGCACAAAACCCTTGAATTTAAATGGAATTTTCACCATTTGGAACCTTCCTAAAATTAATAGATGCTAAAAAACATGCATTGCATAACATACTACATTCCAATTCAGTGTTGGGTGCAATTCCTCTGCATTGCTGAGTTGAGTACAGTTCTTGTGTGTTTGTTTCCTTAATGGATTTCACTATCAGATATCTAAAAACTTGGAGCCATTTGATTGGCCCGTACAGGGTGAGTGGTAAGCTTTTGTGAGGAATTCTCAGTCTGTGTACCTCGCAGATGCTCAATGACTGATGAAATACTTGTTATTCATATGATCCTTTTATTAACCTGACAGAATAGCATGATGTTTGAGAATCTCTTCTCTTTGCTGACTTTGTGATGTGGACGCGTTGCACTACTTTTCTTCCATAATTTGGCACACCCACCACTGGCTTAAAGTGGGAAATATATCTCATCTTTACCAGGGCTGATGAAAGTGTGGGTGTAGTTTAGTTACTCTTTCATCATCTCAAATATAGTCCCCATTGAATTTACCCACCAGCAACTAAAAGTGTGCTTAAGTAGAAATTTATTAGGTCACTGAACGCCCTACTGGACCATGCCTCTGAGGACTATGAAACTTGATTTAGAAAATTTTGACAAATGTAGAAATAATTTTTACAAATTACATAATTACCCAATTTCTCCCTTACATGGGGAGTACCTTATTTCATCAGCAATTGTAAGCAACTTTCAAACTTGGTAATGGAAAACTTTTTATTGCCTGCAGTATTGTATGTGGATTGTAAATGAAATAGAAAGTTACATCGCTCTTCTAGAACATGAGAATGTTAAACACAGATCATTGTTTCTGCAGAATTGCATGTCACTTTATGCCTCACGGGTAATTTTTAAGCAAAGACATAGATTCTGAGGTGTTGTAAGAACTTTCGCACCTCTAAAATAGGTTCTTACAGCTGACTGTCCTGGAATTTATATTTGCTCTATTACTTGTAAGATTTTGTTCCTAAAACAGCTCACAGCTGGACTGCGAGACATTCCTAAGTGTTGATAAAATGGACAGGAGGCTTCACCTCTCTCCATTCTTTCTGCTTGTCTGGGAAGACCCAAGGAGGTCTATAGTTTTGCATTAACTGCAAAAAGTGCCTATCTTCCTATACAGCGGATTTATTTGGACTTGCCTTTAGAAGGAGATTGGGTCCCCATTTTAGGATGTTATTAAATGGATTTTAAAACTTTGACCACCTTGATGAATCTGAAGACACATGAAGGTCTTCATAAAGTTTATGGAGAATATGTGTTATGAAAAAAATGAAACTATTTCCATTTTTCGATGAACTTCTTAAAGGTCCCTTTGCTATATTGCATTTCTAAGGTATGGTCAAAAGACACAGACTTTGGCTCAGACTCTGACCCTGCCCCTTTTACTCACTTTCTTACCCTGGAAAGTCCTAATCCTCTCTGCATCTCACCTTTTCTCATCTTTAAATGGGATAATATTCATCTTGTAGAATTATTTTGAAAGTCCCTAACTCAACGTTCAGTGCACCCTGGGAGTTCAGTAAATGTCAGTTATTTCTTGTGCTAATGCTGGTCCTGATCTATGGACCCCATGCAGGAAAGATTGGAGGAAAACAGAGCGGAGATACTCAGCTTCTTTAGGACTGAGGCGGTTTGTTAAAGAATTTTACCAAGCATCTTTTTAGAGCTAGATGTGGTGGAGTGCTACTGACTTTATTAAGCCCAAAGCCACTGTGAGGTCAGTGAGGAAATCATTCATTCATGATCTTTGTGTCATTTCCTGTCCTCTTCATAAAAAAGAATGAAACCTCAGGCTTAGATCTAGTTGGCTGTCAGCACAGATGAGAACGTTTCAGTTGGAGAAAATCTCACTTCTCTTTTGTTACCTTAAAGAATCTGAATGGTGAGGGCCATCTACTTCCCAGGGAACTATGTGAATGTCTTACAATGCGAGACAAGTGGTCTCTGTGGGGAGACACTCACAATTAAAAAAATAACCTGAGGCACAGGTGATACATCTTGATCTGGACTTCCTACTTTCATGTTGAATTTGAACTTCTTGGGCCAGCCCATAGTGCAGTGGTTAAGGGAGCCAGCTGATTGTGATTTGAATCCTGGCTCTTTGGGTTGAAAAAAACACACTGGGCATGCGTGCATGCCCAAATCCTTACAGGAAGGAGAAGTGGAGGAAATAGGTCTACAGCATGACCATGCCCATTGGAGAGTCTCTCTCTTTCTCTCTGGAGAGCACATGTGCTCTTTGGCAAAAAAAAAAAAACCCAAACAAAACAAAACAAAAAAACAACAAACAAAAAGTGCCCCCCCCAAAACCCAAAAACACAAGACAAACCCAAAACAAAACAAAACAAAACAAAACAGAAGAAGGAAGAAAGAAGTGATTTTTATTTTGTTTTTGATTTTTGGAAAGGTTTTTGCTATAGGATGTGTGTGCTCGCCAGAAAGATAGAGAGAGACAGAGAGACAGAAAGCAAGAAATCACTCCCCGGGGGGATGGCCACACTTCAATCCCTTCTCCTCCAGTCTCCTCTTGGGATCGTGGGCACGCACCCAGTGTGAGTTTAAGCCACCGGGTCCGGGACTCTAACTGCTGTCGACTACACGGAAGTCTAGTGACATAGCCATTACACCAACTGCTGGTCCCGAGAAATGAACTTTTTAAGGTAAAATCAAAGAGAATCAATAGCACTAATGTAAGTCTCTAATGTCTAATTGGTAAATAAATTAGTGATTGTTTTCACCAGATGTGTGTACAAGTTATCTTTGGAATGGCACAATGAAATAGATTAAATCATGGAAATGTGATCAAATAAAAATAACTAGAGCTGTGATGTGAATGACCATCTTATGAGAGGGGTTCCCTAACTCAAAGGAGGATTTTAAACTCTGCATTAATATTAGGCTTATTTGGGGCTGCATGAAGATTTCTCATCAACACAAGAAGCCAGGCAGCAGTGGCTCAGTGTCTCTGCTGACCTTCCAGATTGTAATTGGGGAAGAGATGTCAATCTGCCAGTGCCAGGGGTTTCAGGTCAGAGCCTATGTGCACTAGTTCAGGGCTCACACTTGGCTTCTGAGAGATTTTATGAGTTCTTATGATTCAGACCTTCCCTTATTTTTCTTCCCTCTCTCCTCTTCCTTCCTCCTTCTTGCCTGCCCTGCATTTGTGTAGCACCAGGAGCCTCAGACCTGGAGCTCCGTCTCACCACTTTTCTCTCATTCTTCAACTTTAGGGATAAGAATGGCATTGGGAAAAACAGCAACAGCAAATGCTTCAGTGATGCTGTATAACCACGTTTGTAGGTTGGATTAGAATAAGCCAGCAAGGGAAAGAAGAAGGCCAGTAGGTTGGGAATAATACATTTAGACATTGGGAAGAGAAATTTGTTACTTCTGTCACTTCTGTCTGTGGCCTGAGATCTTGGGAGGTTTCTCTGCCTATTCATTGGATCCTGTCCTTCTGTTTTTAGATTATTCTCTCATCAAGTAGACATGTAGAATCATATAAAAAAAACCTTTACATTTTGCTTTCAACTCAAATGTGTTAGCAGCTTTGTCACTTGATGCCTAGCACAGTATTGTAAAACTGCTAAAGAGCTAGCAAATTTTCCACCTAAAATTTTTGTGGGGGAGGTTAGGGTGGGGGTATGGGGAAAGGAGTATAAAAATAAACCTTTCAGAGATTCTGGGTTGCTTGGTGGTGTGTGTATTTTTCCATGGTGCGGGAGGTTAGAAATAGCATTGCTTTTTATGGGATTCTCAGCAGCAGCTCAAAAACTTGGCTTTGTGGGTTTGGTCTCTCTGTGTGGGTGAGGTAAGTTCAGCAGTGCTGTGTGGTAGGGGGCAGTGCCTGGCAGCATGTTCCAG